AAGTCACTATTCATTGAAAACATAATGAAAAGTATTTATTGATCATGTGAAAAATATACCTATTTCGATACCAAAACTTTTCAAACACATACTCACCACGATATTATTTAAAACGAACGTGAGGTTGGCCGGTGGTCTCGATGGTGGCGAGCTGCAATTTGCTCTCAATACATCACCGATATCGTAAAAACTTTTGTCCGTGCCAAGACTAGGCGAATCGTTCGGTAATACTGTAACAAAATAGAAAATTTATTAGATACACGAAAGTTTCACCATCTGAGCGAAGTTATTGGTCGGTCGGGATAAAGTAGTTTTGGGGAAATTCTGGATATTATTTTTTATTGCGATATGCTTCGCGGAGAACGGGACCGATATTGAGATAAACTTTTGATGAGAATGCTTGAGAGGTGAATGTAGAAGAAAACATTCGATGATGAACATTTAACAAACTTGAAATTGATTAATACAGTATATTGTATGATTTTCACTATAAGGGTTTTACAAAAACTGTCGACGCGTGTTTCGGTATATAGTAGGGTTCTTATAAAACCCTTTATAGTGACAATCATAAAATGAATTGTATCAATTATTTTGAATATGGATTTTCATCAATTATTATTAGTTTGAATATGGATTTTCATCAATTATAGGCCAGTTCTATTCAATTATCAAACGAAATTGATGAAATTCACAGTTTAAAGACGGACGTGTTAGGAATGACACGTTAAAAGATAAGACCTCGTTAGTCCAAGCTCGCATAAGTTTCTCAACTTCTGAGAGTTGTCGTTCGTATGGGGGCGACAGCTGATTAACGGAAAAATATATTTTAAATAGAAAAACAGAATTCAACAAAATTCACAAATCAATGTCGGATTTCTATTCCCAGTTTGAAGTGGACATTGAAGGAAAGTCAAAATTTATCAAAATTCCTGATTTGAAGTCAAAACTCAAAGTTTCGAGTCCAAAGTTGGAATTTAAAAAGTCTCCGAATTTCAAGTCGTATTTCAAAAAGACTCCAATTTCATAGTCGAAATTCAATGAAATTCTCAGATCAAAGTCGGATTTCTATTCTCAGTTTGAAGTCGACATTGAATGAAAGTCAAAATTTATCAAAATTCCTGATTTGAAGTCAAAACTCAAAGTTTCGAGTCCAAAGTTGGAATTTAAAAAGTCTCCGAATTTCAAGTCGTATTTCAAAAAGACTCCGAATTCGTAGTCGAAATTCAATGAAATTTCCAGATCAAAGTCGGATTTCTATTCCCAGTTCGAAGTGGACTTTGAATGAAAGTCAAAATTTATCAAAATTCTTGAATTGAAGTCAAAATTTAAAGTTTCGAGTCTAAAGTCGGAATTTAAAAAGTCTCCGTATTTGAAGTCGTATTTCGAAAATACTCCGAATTCATAATCGAAATCCAATGAAATTTCCAGATCAAATTCGGATTTCTATTCTCAGTTCGAAGTGGACTTTGAATAAAAGTCAAAATTCATCAATATTCCTGATTTGAAGTCAAAATTCAAAGTTTTGAGTCCAAAGTCGGAATTTGAAAAGTCTCCGAGTTTGAAGTCGTATTTCAAAAATACTCCAAATTCATAGTCGAAATTCAATGAGATTCCCAGATCAAAGTCGGATTTCTATTCCCAGTTTGAAGTGTACAATAATTGAATGTGAAAATTTATCGAAATCCATGATTTGAAGTAAAAATTCGAAGTTTCGAGACCAAAGTCGGAATTTAAAAATTCCTCGAATTTGAAGACGTATTTCAAAAATATTCCAATTTCATAATCGAAATTCAATGAAATTTCGAGTGCAAAACTGGAATTCAAAAAATTTCAAAGTTTGATGAGGAAAGTTCTTCCGTTTTCATGACTCTATTTTGGAGTGTAATATCTTAGTGAATAGTCATTCAATTCAATCGAAATAAGCGCAATTTGAATAGGTACACCTTTACCAAGGTAACATAGGTGAAATGATTCTGTCAGAATTAAAACTGATTTCTCAGGATTTGATAAAGTTTTTGCCTAGCCCTGATTGGCGAATTCAGTGGAATTTCAATGAAGTTTTGTAGTTGAAGTCGAAGATCACCTAAATTTCGAGTTCAGAGTCAAAATTTGAATAAATTTCGAGTCTGAAGTCGAAACTGACAAAAAATCGCAGTTTTGAATCGAAATTTAGATAAGTTTTGAGTTCAAATCGAAATTTGATGAAGTTTCAAGGCCAGAATTCATCAAAATTGAAAATTTGAAGTCACTATTCATTGAAATGTTCAGTTTGAGTCTCGGAAAACTTTTATCTGTGCCAACAAAAAGCATAACTTTCGATAATATTGTACAAAATATAAAATTTATCAGATACACGAAAGTTTCGCCATCCGAGCGAAGTTATTGGTTTGTCGGGGTAAAGTAGTTTGTGGGGCAATTCTGGATATTATTTTTTATTGCGATATGCTTTGCGGAAAACGGAACCGATATTATGGCCCCAGCGACGTAAAAACTTTTGATGAGAACGCTCGAGAGGTGAACGTGGAAGGAAACATTTGATAATGTTGTCGAACCAGGGAATAGCTGACTGATCGAGAAAGGAACACGAAATTTATTTTTCTATAATCTGTTCAGAATTGAGTTTTTCGATTGCGTTATTCCAATATGGGTTCAAGATGTTGGATCCTTCCAAATATTTGAGGATATGGTGATTCAAGGATTTCTTTATGATTTTTTATATCATCGATAGCGAAGCGACTGGTCTATAGATGATTGGAAGATTTTTCTTGCTCATTTTGGCAATAGGCTGAACGCGAGCAATCTTTCAACAGGAAGAGAAACCCCTTTTTTCGTAAGACAGGTTCGTAGGACATGATTTCATAATAAAACGTACTAAAATTCATAAATGTCAAGATGTTTTCGAATATGCAGCTATTGAGGTGATTGTCTCTGACCTTGGATTATTCATAAGTTGCTTGTACAGGTCACCGGCTACTGATAGTGAAACGTTTCTCACAAAAATGGAATCATTTCTTGAAACACTCAGTTATAAAAATTCTGAGTCGATTAATATTATTTGTGGTGACTTTAACTTCAATTTTCATGATGAAGTACATGACAGTGAGGCAAAAATACTTCGTAATCTACTTTCAGCATATGGTTTAAAACAATGTATCTTCGAATATACAAGGTTACAAGGAGACAGTAGATCTACAATTGATAATATATTCTCATCGGTTGAGTATGAAATTGAAAACAAAGTTTTGCATGTGGACTTCTCGGACCATGCTCTCCAGTTTATTACATTACCTATAAATTTCGTCGCCGCTGATAAATACCATTATTTTTTTAAGAGAAATTTT